TTTATATAAAAGAAAACTACAGAATTATAAATTAAAAGAAGGCTTAAGGCTATTTATATTAATAATATAAAGGAACTTAATTTAAGAGTCTAGATATAGGCAGACAAATTAGGTATAAAAGTATAACTTATAATACTATATATATTAAGCCAAAATAAAACTATTAAATAAGCTTTATAATCTATTTAATTTATTATGTAATTAATACTCGCTTATACTTAACTTTTAAAGAATTATTAAAACCTTGTAGTCTTAGTAGCCTTTTTTATTAAGAATAGGCTTCTTAATAATCTTGATCTAGAAAAGAAAAATAATAATAAGCTTAAGTAATCCTTTAAATAAGCTTAATCTAAGAAAATTCCTTAAGTTAATATACTTTACGTCTTTAGCTTAAAGTACTTTATTTATATAGATAAACTAGAAAATAAAGCAAGCTAATATAGAGAGATAGGCATCTTTCTTAGATATGCTAATACTACTTAATACTAAGTAGAAATAGTTAAAACTAGTATACTAAAAAAAGTAAATATAGCTTATGTCTTAGTAAATAAAACTATATCTAGTGGTACTCTTCTCTCTAGCTTAATAAATAATAATAATATAAATTTATTAAGAGTAAGAAAAGAATCAGAGAAACTACTAAATTCATCTATTAAGAAGAATATAAAACTAGTAATATTAAATAAAGGATTTAGCTTAAATAGGAGCATAAAGAATATTTAGAAAGGTCTAAAGCTGCCTAGCAGCTTAGACAAAAATGTTTAAAAGGATCTAAAACTACTTAATAGTTTAGAGACTACTAATAAACCTTTATTATTTAACGCCTCTTAAGCTCTTAAAGCATCTTTATAATTAGGTTTACGCTCTAATACTAAGGCAGCAAAGAAATCAGACTTAGTAAGAGCTAATAACCTTTCTAAAGACAAATTACTTAATATAATAAGTAAATTTAGCTATATATATATAGCTAAATTATTGCTTAAAGCGGAAACCTTTCTAAGAATTATTATTAAGATTCCTCCTATTAGACTAAGGATCTTGCAAGTCAAGGAATCTTCTTCTGCTACTACTCTTACCCTAAACGCATTTAAATGTTACGCTAAAGATAATATTAGTCTTAAGGACAATAAAAAAGCTTGGCTATTATTAGAGAAAGCTAAAGCTAATATAAAGAATATTGTTCTTAAGATTAATATAATTATAGCGGAAATAGCCTTTTAAGTAAGAGCAACTAAAGCTAATTAGCTTTATAGAGTTAAGAATTAAGTCCTTATTCCTATAAGCTATAATGTTATTATTAATAACCCTATTTATAGACGAAAGTAGCAAGAAGCTATTTAGAAGGAACTTAATAGGCTGATTAGTAATAGTACTTAGCAAAAGAAGAAGCTATTTAAGGATGCTAATTAGGTTACTAATAAGTAAGTCTTTATTATTAAATATAATATTAATAGTAGTATTAAACGTAATAAGGCTAGACTTATTATTTGCAAGTTTAATTAAATCTATAATTAAGATTTTAAAGAAATATTTGCTTTAATAATATATATTAATTTATTAAGGATACTTATAACTATTATAATAATAAAAAATATAAAAGCTAAATAAATAAATATTAATAATGCCTTTACTAAATCTAAAAAAAAAGTGGGCGGGTCGCTTGTATAAGCGAGTCGCTTATGAACCACGTTACTTATTAATATTAAAGATTAATTACTTTTAATATTAATTTAGGTCTCTTTTTTTATTACTATTTATAGAGATAATAAGGAAGAAGGATTCGCTTAATAGTATTATTTAAGAGTAGAATCTATAAATCTGTACACATTTATTAATAAGTCGATTTAGGATAAAAGCGAGCATATTATACTATAGCTCTTTAATCTCTTTCAGACGTTATAGAGGGTCTGCCTATACGTGAAAGTGATTTATAGAGGTCTCATTAGCCGGATAATTCATAGGTTCTTCAGACGGTTAAGGGCGTAAAATCAAGTATGCGACTAATATCAGTATATCTCACTCCACATTTAGCCGCACCGACTATTTCGGCTCTCTGAAGGGGTGTTAACTCCTTGCCATCACGCCGATTACCACTGATTTCGTTCAATGGCTTGCGTTGAGGCATAATCAGTTGACAAAGTGAGGGGGTTGTAGAGGGTAAACGCGAAAAAACGCGAAAAACGCGAAAAGCGCTAATACTTTTGACCGGGTACTGTACATGCATGTCTCGGCTTGGCTCGTGCTCTGTCAACGCTCGAGGGGCTGTGCGATAGCTACAGGCGAGGATTGTTATTTACGAGCTGAATATCCGCCCATGTGTCTGCCGCCTAATATTCAGCACCTGTTTAGCCTTGCTCCGTAGGTGGTTTATGGCCACTTTATCAATCCTCATATATATAAACAATCCTCAAACCGACATCCCTTTCCTACAACTCTGAACTGCAGCCCCTCTTTTGCTGTTTGAAATAGAAGATCACTCCTTTGTCTCGAAATCATCGCCGATCCTACAACTTCGACGCCGCGGCTGTGCCTATTGCTCTTCCGATCTGATGAGTATCATGTGGGGATCGTATGTGCGCTACCCATTGAGAGAGCGGCGGTCCGGGCCATCTTGGATGAAGAACATGGAGTGTTTTTGGACAAAGACGCGCAGGATCATAACACCTACTTTGTAGGGTGCGTTCATAACCACAACGTGGTGATCGCGTCCTTGCCAGCTGGTATCGATGGCACTACCGCGGCAGCTTCTGTCGTCACTGATATGATGAGGACGTTCAAAGGATTAAGATTCGGGCTGATGGTGGGCATCGGAGGCGGCATACCTAATCTTGATAAAGGCTACGACATCCGGCTGGGAGATGTAGTGGTGAGCCAGCCGACAGACACGACGGGCGGAGTGGTTCAGTACGACAAAGGCAAAAGCCTGGACGGAGGGAAGTTTCAACTAAAAGGGTCTCTCAATGCACCGCCGTTAGCGCTCCTCACCGCGTTAGGTGCTTTGCAGGCAGACCATGAGTCAGAGGACAGCAAGGTGCCTACCTACCTCAGCGAGATGTTTGAACGCAAACCCAAGTTGCAGATAAACGGCTACACTTTTCCAGGCACGGACAGGGATCGTCTGTACTGCCATCATCCGACAAGCAATGCTATTTGCGATCATTGTGATAGTGCCTGCGAAGTGTATCGTCCGAGTCGTGAGAATACCGATCCGCAAGTCCACTACGGAATCATCGCATCAGGGAATCAGGTGGTCAAAGATGCTGTCGTGAGGGACCTTTTGCGCGACGATTGCGGCGCCCTATGTGTTGAGATGGAAGCAGCAGGGCTCATGAATTCTTTTCCGTGTATCATTATTCGAGGTATCTGCGACTATGCTGATGCTTATAAGAGTGGTTTATGGCAAAAATATGCGGCGACCACTGCGGCAGCATATACAAAAGAGCTTTTATTATATGTATCAGCAGCGCAGACCTCGAGTGAGAAGCCAATTGACCAAGTCCTAGGTGAGTGATAGATGTAGGCTGTTAGGATAAGCATGTACTTCACATCCAAACTGCATACATTTCCCTATATAAAGACTAATCCTCTTCAAATCTGGTTTGACCGATCGAAGCGCCTGTAACGCTAATTTGTGGTCTAGATATAGTAAAAGAACATGTTCAAGCGGTAAGCGATTATTACCGCAAGCAAGAGATACGATATCAGAACGACCAAGACCGGAAATGCCACATCACTTTTAAGATAGACAATTATGAGCAGCAGAAGGACATCAACATTGATCGGACTGCCGATACATGTCAGTGGGTCTTTAGGAATGAGAAATATATTGAATGGCATCAAAGCAGCACCGACAGCCTCCTATGGATATCAGCCGATCCAGGCTGTGGAAAGTCAGTTCTCTCGAAATCTTTAGTCGATCACGAGCTTCAAAACACTACAACGCATACGGTATGTTACTTCTTTTTCAAGGACAACGAGCGACAGGATAAATTAAACATTGCGTTGTGCGCTCTGCTCCATCAACTCTTTGATCGCCAGCGTCATCTTCTTCGCTACGCCACTCCCGCCTATGAGAAAAACGGTGATAAGCTGAGGCAAGAAGAGAGCGAACTGTGGCGGATACTTCTCGCGGCGACCGCTGACCCTAAGGCGCCCAATGTGACCTGTATTCTCGATGCGCTAGATGAGTGTCAAGACGATGACCGGTGGCGACTTATCAATATGCTGTCCCAATTTCACATAAACTCATCGTCGTCTCATCGGCGGAACAACTGGTTAAAGTTCATAGTTACGAGTCGACCGTATGATGATATCCAGCAAACATTCCAAAAAACAATATCATCCCTGCCGGCAATAAGATTGCGTGGAGAGGATGAAAACGAACAGATTCGGAAGGAAATCGATATAGTGATCAGAGAAAGAGTCTCTAAACTAGCGGAAGAGTTATCACTTAAACCAGAGACAAAGACCCGGCTGGAGCAAAAGCTTTTGCAGATGGAACATCGTACGTATCTATGGCTCTATCTTGCTATTAGTCATGTCTATGAAACGTACAGAAATAGTCTACGACCGGACTATGAATCAATCGAGTCACTTCCGTCTTCTGTTGAGGCCGCGTACGAAAAGATCTTGGAGAAAGTCATCTCAAGGATGAGAGACACAGTGAAAACGATCCTGCGAATTGTGGTCGGTGCGCGCCGTCCGCTGACCACCGGTGAGATGGCTTTAGCTCTTGATGTGGCCACATCGCCACATCTTAAATCAGCAGCCGAATTTTCAATTAACAAGGAGCATCTTGAGCGGAATATCCGCGATTGGTGTGGATTGTTCATATTCATTAACCACTCTAAGATCTATCTTATCCATCAGACGGCGAGGGAGTTTCTGATTTGCGAGAACGGTGCTATTAGAACTAGGTGGAAACACTGTTTCAATGTTGCTGATACTGAAATGCAAATGAGCCGAATATGTGTCCGATTCCTTCTATTGAAATACCTGAAGATGAAAGTCTCGTATGAACTCATTACAGGTGATCAATGGGGTCTTCGCACTAAGATACTGAATAAGAGCAACAAAAACGTTATAGAAGATTTCCTATTGTACTCAGCTGAACATTGGCCAGACCATCTACGAAGATCAGAAATTGGAGAGAATGATTCCCTTATGACTGAAGTGCATCATTTGTATGACACAATCAGTGAACGGTTTCCCCTGTGGTTTCGATTATTTTGGTTCACTACAGAACTTTACCAAGATCCACCAGACATGAACGAGCTCCAACTAGCGGCGTTCAATGGGCATGACAAAGTAATGAGAACGATTTTAGTTGATGAAGATGTTGATATTAATAGGACTGACCGAGACGGCAACACGGCATTGATGTGGGCATTACTCAAAGGTCACGAGAAGATGGTGCAGATGGTGCAGATGCTGCTGGAAAAGGGCGCCGAGGTCAATGCTCAAGGTGGGAAGTATGGCAACGCACTGCAGGCGGCATCAAATAGAGGTCACGAGAAGGTGGTGCAGATGCTGCTAGACAAGGGCGCCGAGGTCAATGCTCAAGGTGGATACTATGGCAACGCACTGTACGAGGCATCAAACGGAGGTCATGAGAAGGTGGTAAGGATACTGCTGGACCTGGGCGCCAAAGTCAATGCTCAAGGTGGATACTATGGCAACGCACTGCAGGCGGCAGCGTGGGGAGGTTACGAGAAGGTGATGCAGATGCTGCTAGACAAGGGCGCCAAGGTCAATGTTCAAGGTGGACACTATGGCAACGCACTGCAGGCGGCATCGTGGGGAGGTCACGAGAAGGTGGTGCAGATGCTGCTAGACCTGGGCGCTAAAGTCAATGCTCAAGGTGGATACTATGGCAACGCACTGCAGGCGCGGCATCGAATGGAGGTCACGAGAAGGTGGTAAAGATGTTGCTAGACAAGGGCGCTGAGGTCAATGCTCAAGGTGGAGAGTATAGACGGACACCACTTTATGAAGCCGCATTGAATGGCCATCTTGCAGTTATGAAGCTACTACTTAATCGAGGAGCCGACGTATCAATTACATACGA